TCTTGTAGCCCCACAGCAGAATACATAAGGCTATCATTGGAGTTCATCTTGCTTTGCCCTGCTCTAGGACCAAGCAGAAGGAATGTTTACCAGACTCCCCCCAGGCTGTGGCTTGCAGTATAGGTAACAGAACAAATGGACTAAAAACATCAGTTGCCAGCAGAAATTGGAGGAGGAAGAGAAGCAGCATGCTCCAATCAAGGAGGTGAGACTGTATAGTGTACTGAATTGCACTCTCGTGTACCACAAAACAATCCTTGAGGGATACCCTGACCTGATATTACATTAGGATGATCTTGCTAAGTTGTGAAGCTGGTGAACATTGTAAAACAATGTCAGGATATACTGTATTTATTCAAATACAAGATAAGTTTTTTCCCCAAATCAGCTTAGGGGGGAAAGCCCCTTATCTTATAACCACATAAAAGGAGAACTCATTAAATATGTTGTCTATTATTAAACTGCTACAGAAAGCAGCATGTGCTCAATAATGGAAACCAACTATGAAGCTGACTAAAAGCAGCCCATACTGAGCGAGACTGTAAAATACATGGCCCATATAGGACAAACAAAGTGATGGAAACCCACCACAAGGATAGGGTAGTATAGCCTATGTGAATAGGGTATATGCTAGTGTCCATTGCATAGAGTCCCACATAGTGTTGACTCTTTTTCACATCATAGTGAACCACTGCATTGAATACATTTCGACTACTTCACTCCCACAGTGGAGCTGCACATTTCTTTCCCATTTCCAATACTTCCTGTTTCTTCACCAGCCTTAAATACCTTACAAACATCACCAACTAGAGCCCCAAACAGTTCATTTAGAATCCCTCTGTCGCCGCCTCCCTCTCAGCCTGTCACATATGGTTAGTGTAGCCCTGCCCTCCATGAAGTGGAACCAGTCCAGGTTACCCTATGCTTCATCTACATTTACATTTTTGGAGGATCCCAGGACTTGTGACAACAACACTTGGTTCCATGCATGAGTGGGGGGCAATTAACATGTGGAGCCTTTGTAGAGGTACCTGGTGTACACATAAACTGAGCAGTGGGGTCAGTGTCACCATAGCTTGAAACACCATTGATTCCACTGGGGCCTAGCTGAATACATGATATAGAAAAGCTTGAGCTTATTGGTTTTGGACTCAAATCATGAGCCTCTTGTAGGATAAGATCAAGAGTACTATAATCTGTATATAAGTAAGTATAAAAGTGCTGCTCAAAAGTATGTTGATGGAGTATCTGTGCTAAAACTTGCAGCAGTTTCAGGAAAAGCAAAATGCTTAATTTCTGGATGAACAAAATCTGTGGGTACCTGTAGTAATTTGCCTATATGCAAATTTTGCTCCTCTTCTTTCATGTGCCTGAAAAGAGCAGGGTCGGACAGTAAATGTGGGGAGAGGAAAGTGGCTGCAGGGGGAAGAATTGGGGGGGGGGCATGTAAAGGGGCCTACCTGACCTCCTAGATTTATTTTTCCTGCTGTAGCTGTGGGAAGGGGACAACTTCAAGGCAAACATCCAATAACTAGGTTCTGTACCTGAAAAATTGTAAGAAAATTAACTTCAAGTAAATATGGTAACAGACATTTTAGGCCTGATAGTTTAGGCCAGGAGTAGGCAACGTTTTTGGCTTGAGTGCTGAAAAAACAGCAATGTCTACCTTGTAAGGTGCCAGAAAAACAAAACTGGGGCAGGGGAGAGAGGCGTGGGGAGAAGCAGGCATGGGGGGAGGCACTGCGGGCAGGTTGGCTCAGGCAGGCCCTTGGGAAGGTGGCAGCCAAAGAAGACAGGGCTGGGCAGGGATGCTACCTGGCCAGGGCAGGACACTGGGCTCAGGGATTCCTGGCTCTGCCTGTGTGCATGCCAGGCACAGCGCAAGTGGGGTGGAGCCCCCCGAACCACTTGAGGCTGAGCTGATTGGGAGCCTGCAGCATAGCGGCCCTGCACAGTGCCTGCCACAGCCCCAGCCCCTTGGGGAGCTGCAGGTAAGCAAGGCCAGGGCTGGGGAAACCATGGCAGCTGTTCCCAAGGAACACTAGGGATGCACTAGGGATGGCTCCGCCCTGCTCGCACTGTGCCTGGTGATCAGGGAGGCTGAGCCAGAAGCCCCCAGAGCCTGGCGTCCTGCCCCAGCCAGGCAGCATCCCCTCGCAGGCAAGACAGCTGTGCCCGTCCCTGCAGAGCTGGGCCAGGCCAGGCCCCACCTTAGGTGCTGTTGGGGACCCCCACCTGCCACAGCCTGAGCCCACAGAGCGTCAGCCTCCACTTCCCACCCAGTCCCTGCCTTCCTAAGGAGCTAGCTGGGCTGGCCTGCCCTGCCTGCGACACCTCCCCTGCACCACCCGGCCCCTGCCCCAACCTCCCAGTCCCAGTGCTCGGCACCCCAGTGCTGCCCCCACCTGGGTGGGACAGGGCATCTCTCTGCCCAAGCCCAGGGTTCACCCACCTGCTGGGAGCCTCCAGCACAGTGACCGTGTGCAATGCTTGTCCAGGCCCCGGCCCCTCTCCCCGCAGCTCCTTCCAGGGGTCAGGCTGGCTGAGGGGCATAGCACAGCAACATGGAGAGGGGTCAACAGAAGACAGATTGCATCCCTGCCTGTGTTCTCCTTATTCTGCCCTGGTGCCTGCTGCGGCTCTGGGACCTGTGGCTGCTCTGGAGAGCCCAGAGCGGCAACTTAAAAGAAAAAAAAAAAAATTGGTAAACAATTTCCTTGTACACCTCCTAGTGTGCTGGTGGAAAGGTTTCCATGTATCACTAACTGGCATGCATGCCAGAGATTGCTGATCCCTGGTTTAGGTCGACCGTCTTCAGTGCCATGCAACCACCAAGTGTTTCCCCAGGGTTGAGTATTGCAGCTCCTACAAAGCCACTTTAGGTTGTGATCTTAAAAGTTATGGCCAAAAACTTCATAGGAACAAAAAAGGTAAATGCTCTGTTCAGGGGAAGTGTTCCTGTCATCTTGTGAAAGGAATATTTTTTTCCAGACCTCTCTTGACATACATACTACATATAGGGGCATATTGTATTGTTGCATTATGTTCATTTACTAGAATGTTAATACACTTCATCTATCATTATTTGTAATTATAGACTTCCTAGAGAACCACTAATACATACTTACACTATGTTGTAAACAGCTTTCATATAGCAAAGATGTGTGCAAACTTGCTGTGCTTTCTCCCTTTAGGACTCTCACTAGCCTAATCTTGACCAGCTCTTTTTTAGCTGCCCATAATTATTGATCCCAAGAGAAGATACAGAAACAACTTTAAAGCAGATTCTCTTTACTGCTTGCTACTTATTGAATGTAGAATTCTGTCAGCTGATCGGGGCATACGTCTGACCTCCTAACATAAGGGCTAGGTACAGATATTCAAAAAGCTTAAGGTAAAATCCGTCTAAGTCGCATGGTTTTCTGTAAGCAGTGTAATTTAGATCAGTAGTGAACAGAACACACATTCTCCCTTTGGTGGAGGGGAGCAAATCCTAGACTGGGTTCAGCCATTTTTAATCTGGTCTATGTGTATTGAACTTCTGTTCTGTTACAGGTATAGACTGGTTTTGTGTGCCAATATTCTGTTCTGTAACAGGTATAGACTAGTTTCCAATCACTTATACTGGTAAAAATGTGATCTCTGTACCTTGCCAGAGTGATTCTTTGATAGGAAGCCCTAAGAGTTTCCGTATACCGACCACCTCTAGAACGTAGCGTCAGGGATTTTACTTTTTCCATTATTATTGATGCAACTTCGTTTATATCTATTGCATGCTTAAAAGCTAAGACATGCTGATGAGTCTGTCAATGCGGATCAGGAGTAAAAGCAATAATCAAATTCAGTTTGCAAAGCAGCTTTAATTTCATGAATGCATGTCTCTGTCACACAAGTCAGAAGTAATTCAAGCTATTTACACTAAAACAACTAAAGATGGGCTAAAACTAAAAAATTAAGCTCTGAACATCTCTGAGCTTTTTGGAAAATCTAGGTGTACATTTCTAAAGGCAGCCCGATGATGGACCAAATCAAAAACTCTGATACAGACCAATATACAAATAAAATGCTGTAGCCATTTTACCCAGGATGTATGCTCCTTTCAATTTTATTGGCTCTGTGTGTTTTGCCTAGAGCAGTGGTTCCCAACTTTTTTTTTCCACGCCCTGCTGCTCCAAGCAGTGTGCAGCGGCGGCAGCAGCAGTCCAGGTCAAGGGAGCTCCCAGCACACAGCATGGCTCGTCTTTTCTGTGTGGTGCTGCTGGCATTGACCCCGTGACCCTCATTTGGGTCACAACCCAGGCCTGGGAACCGCTGGTTTAGAGCCTTCTTCCTTATGGTAAACTCGAAACTCTAAGGTCTAACAGTGCATATCTTGTGCTGAATGCATCTACTGACATGAAAACAAGCATGATTTTACAAATATAGTATGACGATATTCCCTGAGGAGGGTGAGAAGATGGGCTGAAACCATTTTTGTGTACTGACTAATTTGGTGAATAGTGAATGTTGTTACATAATTGTGATCAGATCCAAAAGGTGAAGGGGCTTGTTTAAAATTAGATGATTTCTGAAGGGAGTTTTCCAGGATATCACAGTTTCTCATCACTCCCAGATATTTGCTACTGTTTCATTTTGTCTTGGGTTTTTTGGGTGTATCTAACATAATTTGTGAACCACTGTGAGAGGGAGCAGGAGAGCTGGTGGAGTTTGTTTGCCTGTTTGATTTTAGAGGGAAAAGTTATGGAGCATACATGTATGTTGAAAATAATTTAATTTCTGTAATTGTATTAAAAAATAAATGAATAATCAGAAACTCCAAAATTTCACATTGAACAATTACAGTATGTCATGTCAAGCTATGTTGATTTAATTGAATCACTTGGTCAGTATTGTCTTGAATTAATGCTCATGGTTTTTCTTGTTTCAGCTGCTGCTAAATTAGCCAGTAGGGTTTGTGCATCAGATTCATCTCTCCTTGTCTTTGTATTTGTATTTTCCAGGTTGGCGAGAGGCAGAGAGTTCTGGTGACAGAAGAATCTTTTGATTCCAAGTTTTATGTTGCTCACAATCGATTCTATGAGCAGGTACAGTTAAATAAACCAAAAAAAATCTTTTTATTTAGCCTCTGCTTCTTCATAATCTTTATATGTTAGGCCACCAGTGAAAGTGCTACAGTGCAAAAGAAAAAATCTTGAGAGAAAAAGCACTCAACACTGGGAAGGGGGGTATCACCATCTATACTCATTCATGTGTTATTTTGAATCTTTTGGGTCTATGGCTCTCCAAAAGGTTTGCTTTTCAATTAGTTTAAAATTCCTTTTTGTGTAACGTCATGTAAAGATATCAGAAGGTGTGTCCTGAAGCATTACAGAACTACTAATTTCTACGCATCAATCTCATTATTTTCTTAATATTTTAATCCTGATGATTTCCAATAATTCTTCAGATAGAAATTTTGGACAATACACTTCACCAAAATCTGTTTAAAAAGATGAGGAAAAGTCATAAAAGATCTTGGTTCAAAGACTTAGCCCTTTCCTGTTTAGACTGATAACACTTCAAATTGTATACCTTCTTTTTAAAGTTCACTTTGTAAATGGAATCATTCTACACAGAAATGTAGTCCTCCTGAACAGGAAATACTGAATCCACCCTGGAAAATTATAACTTTTACAAAAATGCAATTGACTTGTTGCAAGCTAATTTAGCTTTGCTGGAAATTTCTGCATGTCCCTCAATTCTTGCAGTAAAGTTAAGGGTTTTCTTGTGTTTGATAGTTTATAATTGATTGCAGTATTGCTAAGCTTGTCTTAACTGCCATGGTACAGGTGCTAATGGTGGCAATTTTTGATATACTAACCATTTCACTTTTTCTTCTTTAACTGCTGTATAATGTTGCAAACACATACCTGACTTTCTGCCTAGTATATAATAGACCTCTCTCGGAATTACTGCTTTCCAGATATTTTTGTCACACAAGGTGTGTCTATTTTTCCTCAACTTTTTTTTTTCCAGGCTAAACCTCATTTTTGCTTCTCATAGATCTCTGTGCTTCAAAAATGGGCAAGTAGTTCAAGTTTTTGATCTGCTTTCATAGCTTAGTGGTCAAGCATGAAAATAGTTAAGCAAGATAGTGATTAAAAGGTTCCTTTACATGAACATGTTCCAGTTTCATGGAAGTGTCATTAATTTAAAGACAGAAAATGTTTTATGCTGTTTTTTACAGCTCCTACCACAGTGGGTCCCATGTTTTGACTAGGGTAGATAGGGACTACAGCAATATGGATAAGACTAGTAGTCATAATTCAAAGTTTAATTTTGTGAAAAATATTTTTCATTATTTGAGTGTTTATGCAAAAAAGTGGTTATGTTTCTTTTCCTCAAAACTATTTACTTATGATATTTGTTAATATAACATGGTAATTATGTTCCTTGTTGGGCTTCTTGGCCAGGTACAGACATTGCACTTTTACCAGTATAAGTTATTGGACACTGCTCTATACCCATAACAGAAGTTCGACACACACAGACTGGTTTAAAAATGGCAGAACCCAGTTTGAGATTTGTCCCCCGCACACCTCACCAAAGGGTGAATTTCTGTTCTGTTTGCTATGTATATAAACTACACCGATTACAGAAAACTATGTAACTTAGATGGATTCTACCTCGGGTTTTTTGAATGTCTGTACCTAGCCCTTACGTTAGGAGGTCAAGTCTCCTTTTACCAGCCGTGCCAGACTTCTGACTCTGTAGTTTTGTTGACTCTGTAGTGCTTTACAACCACTATTTAGTGAGTAAATATCATTGTTCCTATATTGCAGATTGGGAAACTGAAATTTAAAGAATTAAAGTGATGTGCCCAAAGTGAACTATTGTTGTCAATTGAAAACTTTGGGACCCTTGGTTTTTGATTGAGGACTTGTCTATATGAAAAGGGCTTGTCAGCGTAACTAACCATACCAGTAGAGCTCTTATAGCAAACTTTCCCTAGCAGAATCATACCTCATGCCTGCAAAAGAGTTATTTTGCTGGTATGCCTTAAGCTAGTTCTCTGGACCAGAGTAAGCGATACCAGTAAAATGACTTGTGCTGGTAAAACTGTGTACAACAGCATTTCTCTCAGCCTAGCTATGTTGGTAGAAGTGTAAAACCTCAAGTGTAGACCAAATATGGCTCTTGATTGACTAAAAGAGCACAGTACCTCCCAGGCATTTTCACACAGCTTCTGTGTCTCCGTTTCCCAGTTCCTAGATGAAGATGATAATGACTTCCCTGCATTCTTGTCTCTGGAAACATGTTACAGATGGGAAAGCTAAAATTCATAGACTAAGTGTCTTATGGAGAAAGTACTGAGGGCTAGTTCTTAGCTTTGGGTTACCACTAAGCTTCTGTGAGCTTTGTCATAGGTAAAATGAAGGCAATGATATTTACTTACTTTAAAGGTGTCTTTAGGCTGCCTGGCAGAATTGTGGACCTGGGAATCCTGGGCTTGTCACTTCTTTGAGGCTAACCATAGAAACCACCCTTCTCCCGAGAGTGAACACTCAAAATGACGTTATATTTGACCGCTGCAGCATTGGTCAACTATTTTGTAATTATTCTTGTGAAAAATCCTCACTGCTCCTCTCTGAAAATAAGTCTAGGTGGCTAAGCAAGTACCTGTAAGACCATTTTTTTATTGCTGCTTTGTCCTGTAGCAGTTTAACTCAATTGTTGGTTCCGTTGCTAGAAGTCCTTGCTATGACATTTGTTCTTGAAGTAAAGGAAGAAAAAACATTTTAGTCATTTTGAAATAACACCATTCTTACTGCTCCAACAAGAGTGTTATACATTTTCTACATGACATGGATGAATTTATGGTTTTTCGTTTATGTTCTCTGAATTTCTGAAGGATGCCTGGCTCTGCAAGTTGGGAAGGAGTGGCTTTGGCCTCTGTTCTATAGGCACGCTCTTCTGCTTTCAAATGCACCTGCTGGGTGTCATGATACCAAGACCCTTATCTATTTCTCTGCATATTTCTGAAGTTTAGTTTAAAAAAAGAAACTGCTTTGCAAAGACAGTGGTTATGATCTTGTTTTAATATTTCTTCTGTCACAACACTAACAAACACAGTCAAGACAAGGACTGTGAGGACATGCAGAAGGACCTGGTCTGAGCCCTGAAAAAACTTACAGCCCCCCCCCCAATCATGTAATAACAGGATGCAAATGGAGTTTTAAGAGATTCTGTAAGACTTACGTAAAGTAACCTTGAGAGCTATTTATTTGTCCAGCCTTCATGACTCATCATGCCCAGCTAAATTATTGACCCAAGGTATTACTCATACAATGAAGTCTGGTGGGAAAGAGCTGGCCTATATCCCCAGGATGCAAGGGGATGAGATTGCTGAACATATTAAACGGGTGTAGAGCAGGGATTAGCAACACTTTGCAGTGGGGGGCTGCTTTAATGGAGCTTACCTTTGAGTATAGCTATTTCCAAACCAGCTTGCGCTGCACCCAGTCACTGCTCCACTCCCTCCCCCCGTTGCTGCTGCTGTGCTGCTGCCACAGTTTCTCCCCACAGCCAAAGACCCCTTAGCACTGGAGGCCCCTGCCTCTGTGGGCTGGACCTGCTCCATGGGCTATAGGTTAAACCCAAGGTAGAACATGAGAGTGA